AGCAATTATATGATAAGAGAGAGTATATGAATAATGCTGTCTCCAGAAAAGCAAAAAGAGCATAAACAGAAGAACTGTGCATTGGTGCATGAGTCCAAAGATGCTACTTTATGAACCATAGAAATCCAAATTATTAATCCTTTCCCTGCTGAAATGGTCCCCACTTTATTACAATATTAGTGAAAACTACTTAGCAAAGAGGAAACATTAATACATGTAAGAACCATTGGCAGACTGATGATCGAGGCATAAAGCACACAAATGTAAAGCATTTTATCTACTAACTGCTATACTACCAAGATTCAAGATCAGAACCATTTCTTCCTGTTTCAAAGTGTTTTAAGGTTTGTTCGACAGAAGCATAAACATAAACAGATAACAGCTAACCCAATCTGTAGAATTGCAAATATCTTTAGGTTAGCTACGGGACTTACAAACTCACAAGCAACATTTTCATTTTTCTACGACGAAATATATTTACTTGAGAAACACTTCCAAAACTCTTGACAGAGACAATTCATTATACAAGTGGTGTGAACATTGGAATTGATCAGATCAGCAATGTATACAGTTTATATCTCTAGACTGACGAACCAAACCCAGACCCAGAAAGCAAATCAACGGAAACATTAACTCAAATTGAACAGCCATATATGCTACTCTGATCAGGTCATGCAACCAAACTGTAGAGTTATGAAAAAGAGATGATTACTTGTCCACGCTCCTTACTCCTCATATCTTTGTCTCTGAAAACCTTTCCTTCGATTATCGGAGAAAATCAATATGTATCTGAAGCTCGAATCTCTTTGTTGAAAAAACAAAACATTATCCAGAAAAATTGGTACTTTCTTTAATAATATGCTAGTTTGCCAAATTACTTATTTCCTTAAACAAAATACAGTACAATGAACACTCCAAAACACAACCACAGACACAAACAAAAAAGGTTATTTAGGATTAATGCACAGAGGAAAACATAAACCAGATTTAAAAATATCGGATCTTTGGTTTAGCTTCAACAAAATGGTAAGTCAAGTGCACTAACAAACAAGGTCCTAAACAGAATCTTATATTTGGGTTTATATACTGAAGTCTATATAAACGAATCGAAATCATAAATAATCGCAAGAACTCCATAAGGCTATGAGGATAACAAAAGCAAACTACTTTAAAATGTGTTATACTCTTCAAGCTTTCCCGGGAAAAAGTCAGGGTCTAGAAGTGCACCGTTTTTTATCTTCTCTTGAAGGTCTAGTCTCTTGGGAAGTATAATCTCAGTTCCTCGACCTAGGGTAGAGAAATACCTCTCCAACAATATCTGTAACATAAGATTCAATAAGAACCATAAACATTACATTTTAAAACTCGAGATCGTGTTCTCATTTCCTTACCACAGCGGCGTACGCATCTTCCCTGTTATGCCTTTCACTCTTGCAAGAATAGAATGTTCAAAACATCATCGGTTTAAAAACAATTCACATAAGTAATCAACATTTTCATGAAAGCTCTTTTTGGAGCATTATGACATTAAGATTGTTCACATGTCTCGCTTTCGTTGTCTCTGTAGGCTTATGAACCTTAACAGACATTAAACCTGAATTGCTAAACCA